AAAAAATTGCTGAGCTCTAGAATCAGTTGCATGGATGAACCAATTTTACCGATGCTCCGAATATTCCGAAGGACGGTTCCATAGCCATCCGGGTCCATGCTTATGTTACGACCCCAAATTCTTTCTTATATAACAGTTCCATGGGTTTTAGAAAAAAAAACTGCTAAGCTCTACACACTTAATTTTTTCTACCGAGCTCGGCTGTGCAAATCTTGGCAATAAAAGTTTTATTTGTTTTGTTTCATTTGTTTGCTGAGATTCAGCTTAACATTATCCGAGAGTCAGCAATCAAATGTCACTTTTGCTGAGATCTCAGTGAAACTTTTTGTGCCGAGATTTGCACAGCCGAGCTTGGTAGAAAAAAACTAAGTGTGTAGAATCAGTTTCATGGATGGACAACTTTTAAGAATCTTTCGGATCTTGCGGAGGACGGTCTCATGGCCATCCGGGACCATGTTTATTTTACGATCCTAAATTATTTCTTATATCTAGGGTTACTTCCACTCACTTGCTATAAAAAAATGTTTTTCGGAATTATGAAATCATGAAATAGTATAATGCTAATTAGTACTTGTAAGTTACAAGAAGAGGTCATGAAGTATATGTTTGACACATAAAATCTGTCAATATTGCTTTCAGTGCGTCACAATCAGCGATTTTACGACTCGTGAGCGCTCACTCTGAGTGAACGCTCACGAATCATAAGATCGCTTATTGTGACGCTCTGAAAGCGAAATTGACAGGTTTTATGAGTCAAACACATACCTTACACCCTTTTCTTGTTACTTATTAGTACAACATATCATTATAACATCTAATGATTGCATAACTCCAAAAAATATTTTTTTATAGCAAGTGAGTAGAAGCAACCCTGCTTATATCACAGTTACTAGTGTTTTCGAAAAAACAACCGCAGACCTCTCGAATCAGTTTCATGGATGAATCACTTTTACGGATAATCCGGATCGTTCGGGGGATGATCCCATGGCCATCCGGGTCCATTGTTATGTCACGGGACCATTGTTATGAAATCGCTGACTAACGGCGTTATATTTCGAATTATAATATTTTGCAGAAAAATTTGTTATGGTTACAAGATTCAACAGCAATAATGGTTAGCATCCATACCTCTCACGCCAAAGTCACGAGTTCGAATCTCACTCCCGGACAAGTCACGAATGACCCAAGAGCGTTAAAGTGACTATAATAAAAAAAAGCAACAATGAAGAAAAAATTTCTTTGCATAACCGTTGATTTCAAATGTAGGATTGTTAAAAATTTATTAAACAGCATGTTGTTCTAATGACCAGTACTCGGGATAAAACACATCTCAGACCCTCATAAGATTAGGAATCACATAGATGAAGACTAACTAACTCATTTTTTCCTTGTTTCAAGATCATCCTCGGTGGACAAAGCCCAGTCTTGTCGCTTATCAACAAGGCATAAAAAGTAACAAGGACTAAGATGTGTTCCTTGGATTACTGAAAAATCCTGTTCCCCTAGTTTGAAGTAGTCAAGACTAGGAATCGGTGGTAGATCTTACATCCCGTAACGTACCACGAAAAGGTGATCTACCCACGTTACGGGGAGCGACGAGTGATGCTGAGAGAGATGTTTCCTAATCGAAGAATAGTTCTACGCTGTTGTCGCCGCCACACGGTAAGACTCGTCGGTCTCATCATCGGTATTGGTTCTGTTGCTTCTCAACACCGTAGATTAGCGACACCGGTGAACAAACCAGGTTGTCCGACGATTATGTGGTGCTCGAGTATTCCTGTTGCTGGTCAACAACTTCCTGGTTATGGTGACGTTATAGAGACGACGTTCTCGCAGCGACTCAATCGAGGATCGGGTATATTGTCTAGATGTCATCAAGGTTGGGCGTACTTAATGGAGTAGCCATGTGTGCGCTGCACATGCCGGAGTACAAACGTTCCATTACTTTTTTTAAATTCATTATAAAGCATTCACCGCCGCTTGACTATCTGAGCAAATGCTTATATTTGCATTTTAATAATTCCTTTAAATACAAATTACTTCACATTCTAGGATGCCATTTATTTCAGCTTGAAATACCTTGGGCCATTTTCGCATCGACACCGAAACGTTAACCCAAGGGCCAGCACCCACTATATTATCTTGTTTCGAGCTGTCTGTATAAAAATTAATGATCCAGGACGAATATCAAGTCCTCCTGCATCCTAATCAAAGCTAGTCGCATGAGGAGCACGAAATTTATGGTTGAAATAATTTCACTTGGGCATACAATCTTCGTTCATCAATATTAATGGACTTATTGAGAGAGTGGAATCCTGATTCCCGGATGGGTTTTCATCCATATTCTTTTATCCGGATAGTTGGACACCGTTTGTTCTCTGAAAAAGAATAACACATCTGGTCAGCATTCTACCTGCCGAAGCTCAAGCATCTAGGAATTTTAATTACTTTATTTATTTATTTATTTATTTATTTATTTATTTGGAGGGATAACCCACGATAGTGGTCGCAAAACCTCATAATTTCAGTACCAACAGATAACATGGAATCCTACAGATACGTTTGCTGGAACTAAGTCCTAAACATATAAATCGAAATAAATGATTAACTTAATTTAAATCCAGAAAACAGAAGCCGTCAGGAAGTTAAAAGTAGATTATAAAACAAATTCTTAAGCCTAACACGGGAGATATTAAAATCAAGGCAGTTGTAACATTTGTTGAAAATCTTGCACATGCTAGGTAACGGCTCATTAGTGCCGTAGTTTGTGCGAGAAGCCGGGATATTGAAAAAAATAATAAGAAAGTTAATTTAAGTGTCTGATATTGATATTCAACTGCTGCAGAAGTGAATCGCAATGAATGTCCTATAGTAGGAGATCAGCGATGAAGGTACCCTTAGATACGCCTCGGCGAACAGTAAGTAATTGTAGGGACATCAAATTATTGCTTTCATAACTAGAGAGATTGAAAGGATCACTCCAGGGAAGCCAACGAAGGGCGAAACGTACAAATCTTCGCTGAATGGCCTCAATACGATTCACCCCGTTGCTGTAAAAAGGAGCCCATACTATGGAACAGTACTCTAATGTGGAGCGGACTAGCGAACAATAGAGTATTTTTAAACAGAAAATGTTCCTAAAGTCTTTGGCGAAACGAAAAATGAAACCAAGTTGAGAAGATGCCTTAGCGGAAACATAAGCAAGGTGAGTTGTGAATCAAGTAGGACGCCTAAGTCTTTAATGGTAGATTAACGGCCTAATATTTGCTCCTGCAGGCTGTAAGCATAACAGATAGGTGATTTTTTCCTGGAAAACGTTATAATGGAACATTTAGAAGCATTAAATACCATCCTGTTATTGTCACGCCAAACAGTAAAAACGTCCAGCTGCTGCTGAAGAAACAATGCATCACTTCGATCTTTGATGAAAAAGAATAGTTTGAAATCGTCAGCATAAGACAGCTTAAGGCAACTAATCGAAAAGTGAACGTCATTCAGATACAATAAAAATTAATAATAGAATACGGGAAGAAAAACTATCCGGGACTTAGAATTCTCGACTGTAATAGATTTTTTTATCGATTTATGAACTGAAAATAGCAAAGATAAAGTCGACGCAGATAACACTAGTTTACAAATAAATGTAAAAAATAATTACCTTGGATCTTTGACCAATGATTCTTATGTAAAATCGTGCGCTGAATCCAAAAATGTAGTCAAAAAAATCTCAGTAGGATAGTTTTCGAGATACAGCTAAAAAATGAAAATTTACTTTAAAAAAGTTTGTGTACTAAAATACAAATATCTCCGGATTTAATAAGACGATATCAATTATTTTAAAGCCAAATTAAAGTTAAAAAAAATTTCTTTCGATCAACTGAACATCAACTATCAGTGAGATTAGTGGTATTGTTGTGAATTGATATTTTGTTTATTATATTTTTTGTATTGCATTTTTACCAGACAAAATGAATTTCTGCTAAGTTTTTAAACAGTGTAAATAAAAATGTTTGTAGTGGTTGTACCACTAATCTCACTGAAAAATGATCTTTAAATAATCGAAAGCAAATTTTATCACCTTTAGATTGACGTTAAAATAATAAATTTAACTTCATTACAATTTAAGATGCTTGTATTTTAGTAAACACATTTTTTTTAGTTTTTTAGTTAAATCTCGAAAACTAACCTACTGAGATTTCTTTAGACTACAGTTTTGGGTTCATCGCATGATTTTACATGGGAAATGACCATCAGCGTACAAAGTTCAAATATGTTGTAAAATAGTGTAATCTGTCAATATCATTTAGGACTTAATGCGATGTGTACGAAACTAATTGAACCCATTTCCACGGATGTGAGAATTGCAGTATAAATTTCAAAGTAACTCTCCGCCAACCACCATCGTGGAATCCCTTCCGACTCGGGGTCCACTGTGAGTGCTTGAGCTTGCTATCGTCATCGCATGCTAACCGGTCACTTCGTGGTCGGTGAAGTTGGCTATCGCCGCAATATTGTATCGCGTCCTCATCGCAACAGTCGGCGTCAACAATCCATAAATTCAACTTACTACACTCAGCGCGTGACATGCCGAACGGTGTGGTCTCTCATTCCACCAATGCAATGCTTTTTGAATTAGTTCGCATACAAGCTAACATGTGGGTCCGGTAGTGTGAGTTACCTGGTGCCTCCATTCCAGACCGTTAGTCATCGCGTGGTGTTGGAGTTGGGGCATAATATGACGAAAGCAGGTGGGCGCGGCGTGTGTGTATTAGTCCCGAGCTCCACCATGCGTCGATATGTTTGTGCTGACTGGGGGGGTGTTGTTGTAGACGTTACAAAAATTAACGTTTTTCTTTCTTTTTGGACTGCGGTGATGAGGCGAGGAAGGGCGGCTACGGTGAGAGCTACAACACTACTGTTTGTATATCCACCGCAAATGGGTGTGTAGCTCTACCTGACTTGGGCTGATTTTATTGTGCGACCAAACGGCGACCTGTACGCGAGCGACTAGCCAAGTTTGTTGTCCTTATCGATTTCGGTCAGGTATCCTTGTTGTGGGAGTTAACCAGGTCCTTGAAAGCGTCTGACATCGATACGGCTGGTATTGCTGCTGGTGAAATTTGAATCTAATTAGTCTACTTCTTCCGGTCAGCGATTGCGGTCAGGATTCGGACACGAAAGGCCCTGTGCGGAAATTCAAGCTGCGACTCAATTTTTGGTGAGTTACGTGTTGCACTTAGGTCGAGTTGTGTTGCGCTGCCGCTGTTATAGTGGTGTTGCGGCGACAAAAACGGTGAGCGAGGTGGAGGAACCTGCCCTGTGCTGTGGTGATTCATTCCGTTGCGCGGTGTACTCACGGTTTGTTGTGGTGTGGATGAGCTGCATCAGTGTGCGAGAACGAGCTTCCAGAAAGGGTCTCGCGTGAGCTGTGCGCTTAGCTTGGTTCGGCTAGTTGGCTTAAGTACGCGGTCCGCGCTAGTACACGTTTTTGAGTGCGAGAAGGAAAAGTGGCGACCTACTAAACAAAAGAAGACACCTAGCTAATACTGCAACCAAGAAGACGCGTGGAAGACAACGACGCGGTTCTGTTTTTTGAATAAAAAAGAATACAATATAAACCGATTCAACAAGTGTATCGAGAGATTTGCACCCGCGTGCAGGAAACCACCGTTTCGCATTTAATCTCTTTATTTACTCTGAAAACAAGATATTAAAGGAAACAACAACGTGCTGGGGTCCCCCTTTTGGCATCGTAATCAAATCCGCGTAAAAATTTCGGTCCTCTGGACCGCTCCATGGAAAATATTTACTCGACAGAAGAAAGTGTGAAAACACGAAAAAAAAGGTCGTGAAAGTGAGTGAGTGAAATTTCGTGAATCGGGCAGTGAAGTGTCTGCAGGAGCACAAGCAAAAGGAAGATCTTTCAACCGTTTTTTTTCAATTCCTTCGTTTCTGTAACACGTCTCCCAGAAGACGACGGCGAGAAGAGCGCGAGGAGCAAGCGAGCGAGCGAGTGATCCAAGCGTGTTTTTTCCACAGTGTACCCAGTTCTCTTCTTCGAAACTTAACCCGAAATAAGAAAGGCGAAAAAAAAAATCGAACAAAATGGTAGACAAGCAGCAATTTTTCCTGCCATGTTTTGTGGTGTGCGCTATTTTCTCAGGTAATTATCGTTAATTTCTTTAGTGATTTTAATATGAATGGTGTTTTTCCTCCGTGCGGCAGTACCGGTTGTCGTGAGTGACGTACGACGGCCGGGAGATTAACATTTAAAAAGCGAGAGTTGGATGCTAGCGGGTGTCATATTTTGGTTTCGGGTGTTTTATGATCGGTTCCAAATTTTGGCATGCTTTTCATACTTTTACCAACTAGTGAAGGGGGTGAAAGCATAAAAATGTTTTATTGGTTGGTCGGTATGGGAATGATGCTTACGGTTACGGCAGGCTGGTTGGACGATAAGATAATTTTGGCGGGGTGTTGGTTCTGTATTGTGATCGCTCCAATTTTTTTGTTGGCTAAATGTTGCTTTGTGCAATGAGCTGCACAGTTATTTTCGGTTGTTACCTGTAATGACACGAGTAAACAAAAAAAATATATGATTAGATTGCACGACTGTGTGACTCAAACGAACGGATGTATATGTCAATAATTGAAGTCAGTTGGCATCAGTCTGTTAAATGGTATGGTTGTGTTTTTTATAGTAGATATTCAATAAAAATAATAAAAATTTATGACATTTCCCTCACAATATATTACGATCTCTGTGATTCAATGACCTTTTGAGCTTTAATTTCCGATAATCTCGTAGAAGATTTTCAAACACAAACTGAAAGTTTACGGCGGATCTTCATATTTTCTACAGAAAATCCAAAAGACATGCATTTGACAAGAAGTTAGTTTGGGGGGCGACCCCGGCGTAGTGATTAGCATCCATACCTCTCACGCCAAAGTCATGAATTCAAATCTCATCCCCGGACAAGTCACGAATGACCCAAGAGCGTTAAAGTGACTATAATAATAAAAAAAGAAGTTAGTTACTTTTTGTCCATTTTGATGATTTCAAGACAACTTTAGTGTTTTCAAAACGGTTTCGGTGATTCTAGGCCTGTGATTCTCAAATTATGAATTAGACTTAAGTGGGGCAAGAGTACGCAGGTGGCGATAGTACGCACTGGTTCCAAAAGCAGGTAAACGAAATGATGGACCAATGATTATGAGTAGGATTGAAGCCTCTACTGAATACAAGCTTACCAGAAAAATATTGCGTATTTTGAATGATAACCTAAAGGCTATCACCAGAAGGATGTAATTTTTTCGATATTTACATTTTGATATAAAATTAAAAAAAATTCGAAGCGGTATTATGATATCATGGATGAAGATTATAACTTAGGTATTCCAGTATTATGATTGATCTATATGATGGTATTTTAAGGTATGTATCAGCAGACGATATAGGAAAGACATTCATTTCGGAGACCCTTTTCATTATTGACTTCGAGTAGGGCAAGGCTTGAGTGGTGGACATATCGTTTCAATATTGAAAAATGTGAACCTGATTTGAACCTTTAATTACTAGGGTTTAGTGCACTAATATTACCAAATATATTAAATACATCAGATTTGTACGATTTTTTGTTAATGTCCACCACTTGAAAATCTAACTTTAAACCATTGAACATAGAAAACAGATGAGGTCATGCACATAATATGCGCGTAAATATGACAAACTAAGGGCCAACTTTGATTTTTTATTGAATTATAAAGCATGCATTCGATTAAAATAGACGTCTGAAATCATTTAACAAAATGCACACTCTTGCCCCACAAACTTAATCAAGCGTTTTAGAAAAATGCCGTGATTTTTCAAATAGGTATCCATAAGTTATTGTGGCCAAATAGTCAAGGGCAAGGTTGCTGATCCTCACAGCGAAGTAAAATTCGTTATATATTCCTCTCGCTGTTGCTGAAGTAGTGCTGCAGTAGAGCGGCTCCCTTCGCTTGAGTGGTAGCTTGACGCTGCGCTGGATTGAATCATTTTTATCATTCAGCAATCGCACTACTGTGAGTATAGATCAGTTGTATGCGCGAGAACATAACTTTGAGTTAGGAAAAATACGTTATTAGCCTTTGCTCCTACAGTTCCGGATTCAAAACATTGGGTGCCGTTGACCAGCATCTATAACGAGTTTTGCACAATTAAATATGCGGTTGCAATGTGTAGGTTCATTGCGAAAATTGGTAACCGCGTGACACTAAACAGTCGGCAACGTCACTAAATATAAAACTAAGATCTATTAAATTTTAAGCAATTAGTATGTGAAACACATTTTGATGCTTTTAATTCAGAAGAACGCAAGCATAATCGCATGTGGTCGGCAGTGTAGAATAGATCTTCCAACAAACTCACTATGACGATTTCTGCTAAATTGTGGGTTTTCGGACAGGAGCTATGATCTGCAAAGTCACATATACCGGTTACAGTAATGACCAGAATTTGTCAGCCTCTGCACGCATCAGACTTATCGGTAAATCATTTTAATTTTAGCCGTAATTCCAAATCTTTCTCATGCCTTTCTCTTTGTGCATTAAGACCATTGCAAAAGAGCAAAATATTTTCAGAAAGGGAGCCAGGTTCATTACTGCATTTCTAATCCAGGGAAATATTAGCAGTGCATTTGCAATGCAATTTTTCTCTGGATCTACATAGGGAGTAAATAAATAAAATGTCTTAAGAAACAAGCATCACAAAACAAGGCATTGAGGGGTATCCCAGCATATTGAGATTCATAGCTTTCGAGCTAAAGTCACAAATTAAAATCTCACAAATCACGAATGATCCAAGGCTGTTAAAGTGACTATACTAAAATAAAAGTGGGTTCTTTTCACAAGTTCTTTACCCATTTTTTGATGAAATAATCGATTAGCTTGATTCGCTTTCGCGATTGATGTACAATACAGTTTTTGGTAACGCATAATTTTCGACATATTTTTTTTACTTTTTAGAAAATCCATCTTATGTTAAATTCTTACTCTAATTAAAAAAGTTATTCTAAGACCATTCCCAAGCAACATTGCAAGTTTTATCAAGGTTTTATAGCATTCTACAAGTCTACATCATGGTCTACATAACCTTCATAAAACCAGAAATGTTATTTGGGTTCTTTGTGGATCCTTTCTACTTGGTATTTTATGATAAATTGTCTAGACAGTACCAGCACAAATATGTGGGAAAATTTCGCTGATGAGGTGTTGCCAAAAACGGGAAGGCACTGCACTGTATTGCTACACGTTGTATTAGTTTGAATAACTTAAAAAAAAACAGCGTTAGGAATTAGCCTGGTTGACTCATCACTAATAGGAACACTTGGCAAGCCTAGTGCAACATGTGGGAATCTGTGGTGTCTAGACTGAAATGTCTCCGAATTTTTTGCTTACAGATAAAGTTCATAGTTTTGTTTACGAAAATAAGTTTCAAAAAATTCGGGGTGGTTAATTTTCCCGAAAGTTTTAGTTGAAGTTTCCGGACATCACGTACATTGAAATGTAGAATGTATGTTATTTAAAAATAGAGAGAGTTTATCTCTGCAATCCATTAAAAATATAATCAGAAAAAATATATATACGAACATTTTCACAGCATAGGAAAATAGCTAGAAACATAAGGAAATCCAAAGTCATGGTGATGAAAGTTTGTCATGGAAGAAAACTTCTAACCTTTCAATGGAGAAAATTTCATAGTGGTGTTTTTGACTGGCCAAACTTCATCAACTCTTAGGAAAATTTCCTTCTGCCAAAATTTTGCAGACACAATTTGCCGCACTATTTCAGCGCCTCTGTGAATTAACGGAAGCAGAGTATTCTGTAAAATTTGCAGACCGCTTGCCTTCCACAGGGGATCCAAAAGCAAACTGGCACCTTCCCATTTTGGATATCTTATGCACAGAAAAAAAATCTGAATTTTAACTATCGCGCAAAATCTCCCTTCGTTTAATATTGAGCTATACTTGGCATAAACAGCGAAATGTTTTACAAACTTGCATACAGTATTGCTAATATATGCGATATTGCGCTTAAATTTAAACGAAATATCGCGTGAATTTTAGCCAAATCTAGCGTTAATTTTATGTGCGCTATATCTCGCAGAAATTTACACGAATTTTTCGAACGGTGTGGGAAGGTTGTGCTCCGTTAAGCTGGGTTTAGATGTGACAAGTCAATTGATCATGTCAGTTGAATTCAACTGACTTGAACGCGAATTGAACGTGTAAACCATGCCATTCAACTGACTTGATCAACTCACTTGAATTGAAAAAAGTTGAACCAGCCTCAACTTTTCAAGCTAATTGAATTCAACTGAGTTGATCATTTGACTTGCCTAGTCTAAACCCAGCTTTACCATCAGTACATTACCAAGAGCACATCACCCCTAGTGGTGTCCGCGTCACTTATCTTCATTTTTTTTTTAAATTTCCATGATTCGTCTTGCTCATATCGGCAACTCGTAGCACTCGCTGCGAGTATTAAACTGACTCACCGTGAACGCTCATTGAGGCCTGCACTCTTATCCGATCACACCAGTTCATAAAGAACGATGAGAAAGGAACGAGAGTGAATGAAGCGCTTTGAGTCGTACGATGCGAGTATCAGTAACCTTGGTCAAGGAATCGACTCACGGTTAGAACCTTAAATTTTATGTTACGTTAAAGAAGATACATGAATTTTAAAACTAAGTGCGTACTCTTGTCCCACTTTACTCTACCATCCACTGGTGCATTTTATAGGAATTTCAAAGGATCTTTAGGAATAATTTCAAAGGATATCAAAGGATGATTTTTTAGGCATACTTAATCTGAGTATTTTATTCAAATTAGTTCTGAGGAATGTAGGTGAAATGTAAGGAGAATTTCAAGGTAGTCCTGAGTAGAATTCCTAGTGAATCTTGAGAAGGATTCGAACTTAATTTATAACAGAATTATGTGGAGCATTCCAAAGAGAATCCAAAAAGAGATCCTACTAAAATTGCACACTTATTTTGAGGTGACTTCTTTTAAAGAATATTTCTGGAGAACTGAATGTAAATTCCAAGGTACTTGTAAGTAGAATTCCAAGAGAAGAAGGAGAATCCAATTTTGAAAATAATTCAATGAAAATTCTGATGAT